TTAGTATTTTCCAAGAACAGGATGCAGACTCCAATTTGAAAAATTTAGCAAGCAAACAAACCACACTTGTTTATCTACACTGGATTCTAAGTAACACATTGGCACTGGTTTTATCCCAGGATTAAATGTTTTTCTAAAACCTAACATTTATAGTTCTGTAGCAATATGTCATTTTCAACAACTGAGAATCTGTTCATGACTAAGTCAGTCATGAAACCCTTTTACTAGTTTCTACTTTACTGGGAAGAATTGTGGGCAGGTGTTTGTTTGCATAGTTCTGAAAAACAAAGGTGTGTCCTAGCTCACATTTCGCTTCTCACAGACCTGTAATTTTGGTTTATAGGCTTAATGAGTACCATCAAGCAATATTAGCAACACTGACAAACCTTACCCAATACATGTTCCCCACCTGCTGTCTTTCTAGGGTAGATCTGTGTGGGAGAATTTCAGCTAAGATCCATCAAATATTTCTGAATCCAGGGCAAGAGGAAAATACAGTTTGATGAGGGAAAAAAAAAAAACAGATCTTGGGATCACTTATTGGAAAGCTCTAGTGCTGCCATAATTTGAGGGGGGCTTTCACTTCACAGCAAGTTTTGATGTTAGGAATAAACTGCAAGATTCTTTTAACCTAGTTTTGGGATATGACACACAATACATACCCACTCTTGCACCTATTCAAAACCTTCACTGCTAAATCCCTTCCTTATTTGTTTTAGATGGATGGGCTTTTAAAAACAATGTCATTATTAAAAATCACAGAAGCCTTGAAGATCGAAAAATTGCAGCACAATTTCTTCAGAAAAGTCACCCTTTATGTCCAGTGGTTTTAGACACTATGGAAAACCTGAGCAGTTCAAAATATGCTGCGCTGCCAGAGCGACTCTACGTGCTTCAAGGAGGGAAGGTCATCTACAAGGTAAAAAATATCAGTAGCAATGAGCACAGTATAGAGAGATTTTTACATTTCAAGGTAACTTGAGACTGCTTTACATTTAACAGTCAGTATTTCATTCTGTTTGAGACCTAAACATTTCACAATGCACTGTAAATGTGGAGAGAAATGAAAATGCAGCAAAACCAGTCTGGGCCTTTATAATGTACATATTTGATGTACACCTCAGTCTTGCTCAAATATTTATCTTTTGGCTCACTAGTAATCCAAGGTACATCTAAGCTGTGAAATCCAGGAACACTTCCCACTTCCAGGATTCAGACATTGGCTCTGTCCCAGTGACACAGCAGGGTGTAACTAATGCATAACCATCTCCCAGGGACGGCTCTAGTGGAAAGGGAGCCCAAGGCACACCTGCCCACAGTTCTGGTGCAGCTGCTGTGCTCTGAAGGATTTCTGCATTGTCTACTTGAGCATCCCTGTGTCATTTTATTGCCTTTGCAGGGAGGAGTGGGGCCTTGGAATTACCACCCCCAGGAAATACGTGCCATCCTAGAAAAACTGAAATAAAAAAGAAGACTTTGAAGCAAAAACTATTTGGACAGAGAAGTTGAAAAATAATTTATCACAGACCTACATCTAAGGAACAAAACCAGAATTTAAAAACAGCCATAGAGAGAAGAAGAAGACTGTTGTATATGCAAGTATATGCATTGTTGTATATGCAAGGAGCACCTGGAATGAGGTTCATTATGTTTGCCCAGAAGCTTTCAGGTATCATCCCTACAACACCAACTTCTGTTCTGCAGTAAATTACTACTCTTATACCAAATTCAGTAATGTGGGAGCTGAGTCCATTGAGCTCTGGATGCCAACATTTACATTTGTAATAAATATCCTCCAAGATAAACTTCAGGGTGGTGACATTTGCAAAAGTCCACTAGCATGCAAAGCAACTGATTTCACATTACTAAACACATTGCACTTGTATATATAAAATGTTCCTTTCACTGACTTCAGGAGGCTTCTGAGCAAGACAATCTCTATCAGCATCTGTTTCTATGAGTATTTGTTATGATGGTCCCAGCCTAAAGCACTGGTGGCTGTGACCTGATTCTAGAGAATATTTATAGAAACAAGGGACTGATTTATAATTATTAAAAGTCTATCAAAACACTTCATTTGGTTTCTGATTATTTCCATTCCTGCCCTGCCTCTCTCTCCCAAGTTATTTCTAAGCATTAGCAGACATTTATATTCATTCTAACAATCTCTGAGTTTGAGCTGATCAGAGAGTTAGCAACTTAAGGACTTCTGAAGGACTTGTTTGACAGTAGGAAGTAATACATCCCACTTAAGTAGCTCAAACTTTTTTCCTATTTAACTCAGAGTGCAAGGGAAATATTTTACAGGAAATTGAGTTTTAATTAATGTATTATGTAAACCTGATATAAATACACTACCTTAAATGGACTCAGTTACACTCAGGTGTTCTAGGCTGACAGTTTAGGTTACAAAATGAAAAAGCTGTTACTACAATTAACAACTGCACTGTGTTGTGGTTGGACTTGATGATCTTAAAAGTCTTTTCCAACCTAGGTGATTCTATATTCTTCTATCCTATTCCATACATTAAACCAGCAGGGAATATATACCACATCCATACCTTCAAAAACCACTTTAATACAAAGTTCTAATAATAAACATTCTCTGCAGTGCAGGTATTGAAATGTAACTTCCTTATAAAAAAATAAAGTGGGGGCCCAAACTTAAGCTGTGCTCAAGTGTTCTCTGCTGTGCCCTCTGCCATCACCCGGTGCACTGACACAAAGTGATCAAAGCCAGATTTGATGATGAAACGCAAGTAAGTGGCTTGGAACTCAGGAAGCTGCAGAAGGAATAAAAATAATGTTATTGCATCCTCTGTAGTACGAAAACCACCAAACCACATTTGCAGAAGTTTGTTAGACACGAGGATCTGGGTACTTCAGGGTTCCTTTTTGAACTGCACATAAATCAAGTTCTTTGACCTGCAACTCAAAAAAATCCCATCACCTCCCGAATTCTGCAGCCTTAAAGGCAGCAACTGAAGGAGAGAAAATTGCCACATTTCTGGAAAGGGCCCTTGCACCTCGTTAGGAGCACTAGGCAGGTACAATTTCATAGCATAATCTACAGAGGAGCAGCTGGGAAGTGCAATTTCACACCACAATCTACAAACTCCTCCCTTTAACACCAACTGAGCAATAATTGTAAATAAAGACACATTTGGTTTCTTTATGGTTTCTCCCCACTTAATCCAGACATGCCATTTCATGAACCACTACTGATGTACACTGCAAATACTCACTGTAAATTCTTCCATTTGGAGCTGTCCTTCTCTGTGCTGCAAATCTAGAAAATATATTTTAATGTAAACAATGAAGAATAATGTACAATGCAGTGAAGTTTTCACTGGACTCAGAGTTCAAGTGAGTTCAAGGACAATGAATTTACACTACATATAGACATTATTCTTTTTTATTTTTACAGGTGATTTAAGAGAATACTTTTTTGCAATATCCCAGTGTGTGTATATATATATCCCACTCATTACAGTGTTATAACAAAGTCACCCAAGAGGCACTAAAAAAATCCCCAAGCCAAACAATACAGGAAATGGCACTCTATTATACTATGTAAGCCTGTTTTTAATTTTTGGAACATAAAGTGCACAAGTAGCGCTTTTAGCCCTTATACAGCAATTTACTCTCTGAACTGTTGCAGAGACCAGCAGTGTTAACAAAATTCACTTAAATGTGACTGTTACATTAATGTCTAATAAAATAATCATCACCCCACACTTTACTCAACAAATAGATGAGGGGTTACAGTGATTCACTGAAAAAAAACACTGCTCCCAAAAAATCCCACAAACTCAGTCTTACCTTTTTCAACACATTGTTCAAAACCCACAGGGTCCTCAGATGTGCTTCTTTCAATCCTTAGGGTCCGTACTAAAATATATATAAATTCAAAATATCAACACATGTTCTGATTCTTTATTGACACTGATATCTATTCCATCACTTTACAACCACAAAATACTTTCAGAGCATTAACTAATTTATTTTTTCTCTATGCTATGGGGATTGTGGATACAAAGGACGATTGCTTTATGAAAATGAATCTTTATGCAAAATTAAATCTTTATGTAAATTAAATGTTTACAAATCTCTTAAAAGTGGCTACATACAGACTATGACACTACTGTGGGAACTTTTACTAAGGCACAGACACACATTTTAATATAGCACATATTTCCTATGGCAAGACACAAAGTCTTACCCAAATAACACTGGATGGCGACTTTGCTGATTTTTACACATTTGGGAAAACCAATAATCAGTTCCTGTGGGAACATGCCCGTAGTCGTCCAAAATGTTTTGGAACTTCTGTAGAGAGAACAGAACAAAATCCTCAACTGCAGCTTTCCACCTATAAGCATCTTGAATGAAATCTATCACAGAAAAATATGGAGGGGAAAAGAAGAAGGAAAGTGGAGGGGAAGAGGGGTGGAAAAGGGTGGAAAAACAGGGGGAGAGCGAGGAAGGGAAAGAGAGGGACGAAAAGGAGGAGGGGAAAGCGGGGTAAAAGGAAGGGGGATGCATTTTTATTTGGGGTACTTTCAGCAGTGCCGTGTACAAGGTCGGGGCAGCTCTGGAGGTATTTACTCCGGGCGGCCCCACACGGGAGCGCGAATGGCGGCGGGCCCCGAGCACTCCCGCCCTGTGGCGACTCCGGCGTGAGGGCGAAGGGCCGGGCCCGGCCGGCCCCGGCGGGCTCCGTGCGAGGAGCCGCTCCCGCCGCCCCGCCCGGCCCTCACCCGTCCGCCACGCTCTCGGCGGGGTGCTCGGCATCGCTGGACGTGGCCAGGACCAGGGCGGCCCCCGCCGAGCTCCGGCACCAGTCGGCGGCTCCCATCGCCCGCCGCGGCGCTGCCGCTCCCGGGCAACGCCGGCAGCTCCTCCCCCGGTGCGGGAAGCCGGGCTCGGCCCCGGCCGGGCGGGACCGCCGCCGCCGCCGGGCCCCGCTGCCCCCGCCCGCCGCCCGCCCCCCGCGCGGCCCCGCCCGCCGCCCGCGGGCGCTGCGGGGCGGGAGCGCCGAGCCCCGGCCCGGCTGACGGCGCGGCCCCTCCCGGGGCAGGTAGGTGGCGGCCGGGGGGATCGGGGAACCGGCGGGATTCTGGCCTCCCTGCCCGGGCGGGATGGGTGGGGACCTTTCCCCCTGTGCCCCCTGCCCTTATGCCCTTCCCTTTATGCCCTTCCCCTGGCGCCCCTCGGGGCTGTGCCTGCTCACGGCGCGCTCACCCCCGGGCACAGCCCGATCCCTTCACAGACCCTTCCCAGCGTAGCCCCTGACCCCCTCCGGGTTGGACCCGATCCCTTCGCACCCCATCCGTCCCGGTACCCCCGGGCCCCCTCGGGCAGGGCCCGTTCTCCCCCCGCCCCCCCAAGGGGATCCTGTCCCTGCCCTGCCCCTCGCCAAGGCAGGTCTGAGCTCTCCTGCCCCCGCCAGGACCCCGCTCGCCAGCCAGAGCCCCCCGGCACCGGGGAAGGGGCACCGGGAGATGCCCACCCTCCCCGGGAGGGAGGTTCCAGCAGGCTCCATTGCCCAGCTGCAGTCAGACATGTGCCCTCCTCTTCCTCCTTCTTCTCCTGCTCCTGCCTGCAGCAGAGCCAGGCATGGTTGTGCGGGCACTTCCCACTCAACCCCTCTCCCGCTGTCTCCATCCCGGGCCTGGGATCTATCCCGGGGGTCTCAGCCAGCCCGGGGTCCAGCTCCCACTCGGATGGGGTGGGTGGTTTGGTGGCAGGCAGCTCACACCCTGCTCCACACAGCCTGTCCTCCTTGCTACGTGGCCATGCTCATGGCTCTAAGGGGAGCTGCCAGCTTTGGGGGCTTCCCTAGGTCATGTTTTCCTCTGTGGCTGTTCTTCACTTCTCTGTGATTTGTTTTTACAGAGCTGGTCGAGGGGAATGTCGTACTGTCTCCACTCAGAAAGCCATTTGGATACTGGGCCAATATACGTGCGTGAAAATGGGAAGCTGCACGTGGTAAATCGGGGTGCAGGCGGCGTACAGAATGTCACTCCCAAAGCAAGACCTTTCAGTCTGTTTTCCAGAACTTTTTCAGTGGAGCTTTGCATGAACAGGGAGGATGATAGGGCAAGGAGGCAGAGGACCGATCATTTCATCTTCACCTACACCAAGGAGGGGAACCTCCGCTACTCGGCCAAGTCCCTCTTCAGCCTAGTGCTGGGTTACATTTCTGACAATGTAGATCACATTGACTCGTTGATTGGTTTCCCAGAGCAGATTGCTGAAAAACTCTTTTCAGCAGCAGAAGCAAGACAAAAGTTCACAGAGCCAGTGACAGGACTGAGAGCTCTGCAGAAATTCACTGAAGCCTATGGCAGTTTGGTGCTGTGCTCACTGTGCTTGCGGAACAGGTAAGTGTGTCCCCTAACAAATCTTGTCTTCTGCTAGCACACTTCAAACTTCCCCTAAATTAAATTAAATAAAAACACATTTTAGCCTTATAACACCACCCAATGTTAATGAAATGCCCTGAGCACTATCTGATTCTTGTGCTTTTATCCCATCCCTTTCCTACAAGTGCAGCTGTAGGTTTCATTTTAAGATACAAATCATAACAGAGGTAACAGACTACCTCTGCTTTAACCAACAGGGGATCTCATATGGAAGATTAAACCTGCAACTGTTTTTAACAATAATAATAACTTCTGTGGAAATCCGTGTGCTTAGTGCCTTCTCAGGCATTTCATGGGATGTTTCTTTAATTGCTGTTTAAAAGCTTTTCAACACACTTAGCTGACTGTACAGATAAAATACACCCCTGCAAGTTGTTCAGGTTTACTAACTATAAGCTTTCTGTTGTGTCTCATTTTGAGGGCTCAGAAGATACAGACTTGTAGGTAAGTTGCAGGCTTTGAAAATCAGGCAGGTTTTACCTTGTTACCACCTCATATTAGCTGTACTTTAACAAGGTCCTGATTACAGTTCGGCACTAGTTTTTCCATCTTCTCAGTGCCCACATCTTTAACTGAAAGAGTCTTGCCAAGTTTAAAACTGGATTATGTTTTTAAAGCCTTGCTCCTACTGAAGTCCTTCCCAGTAATAGAACCCTTCTCTTCCATCTCTACACTTGAAAAAAGGGATGGTTTATCCAGTTTAAAATCAAAGTACTGGCGTATTCATCTGAAGTGCCAAGGGTGTTCTGAGCACAGTAGGAATGTTTGAGTAGAACTCAATTATCCTTTGTTTTATCCTTTAAACCTTCTCCCTTTTTATCTCTAGCACAGATAATTTTATGGGCTTAATTTAGAAATTAAACTACTTCTGGCATCTTTTGCCATTACAGAAAGCTGAGTTAAGCATCAAGTCTTTGAAATTCAGGAAGTAAGGCATTAAGGCATTTTCTGATTAATTTTATTTCTAAAAGAGCCCACTCTCCTTTCCAGAACCCCCCTGAGCTAATAATCTCTCTCAAGAACTGGCTTATGCTTTGACTGTTTGTTGTGCTTTTTGCAGAGCCAAATTGCACAGGCAAGGGGTGGTTTGATGGGTAAAATTACACTGGGAGGATATTAAGGTCCTCTTATTTGCATGGACAAAGAGGTGTTCCTGGAGGGATCAAGTTAATAATCACCCCCAGTTTATGCAGTGAAGATGCTGACCTCAGGGTGTGTCTTGCCATGGGGAATACAAGGTAAATTCAGGAGAGATCAGTGAATTTGGAGCTTGTTGTGCCACAGGGACAGCAAGAAGTGACTGCAGGGGAGGTACTGAGGGCTACGTGCTCATTACTGCATACTCATGCCTGCCATTCTTCAGTGGTTTGTTCCCATCTCTGAACCTCCTACTGAATAGCTCCAGCACAGATGTTTGCGTGGCTGCTGAGTGAATCAGAGCAGGGAACCAGCACAGCTGAAAAAAAACCCACTGAGTAACTGCTGCCTCAGCTCTGGCCAGTCCTGGACTTCTACCTCTAGTCAAGCATTTTATTGACATACATAAAAACTAAAATTTTGATACTGAAAGGCTATCCTGTCCTGTTTAAAATCCATGTTTGAGGTGGATTTTAAACCTGGATGAATGTGGGTTTGTCTGTACCCTTCCTAGACACTGAGGAAGAGCAGTTTGTGAAACTGATGATAAACTGAGACATTTTGCATTATTCTGAAATAATACAGCAATAATCTGTAAAGAAGCTCCTAACAGCAATATTTACAAGTTGAATCAAATCTAAACCATGACAGTGATTTAAGGAGAAGACTGGGAATTCAGACTTGTGTGCCAGCTGCACGTACAGAGGTACTTAGTGCAGCTGGGTAATTTCTGTCAATTTTCGCATAGGTACTTAGCAGAAATGAGTGCATTGTGCTTATGGCACTTGGGGATGTAGACTTACATGCCTGAGCACTGAGGGCTTTTTTTTTTTGTTTTTTTTGGCTTTGCAGGTACCTGGTTATCTCTGAAAAGCTTGAAGAAATTAAGTCTTTCCGGGAGCTGACGTGTTTGGATCTCTCCTACTGTAAACTTGGAGATGAACATGAGCTGCTGGAACACCTCACCAAAGAGGCCCTGTCTAGGTACCAATTTCTTGAGCTAAAAATGACACTTTCTTTCCTACCACTAAGCAGTTCAAAGAATCAGGCTGAGACTTTAAAGGGAAGTTTCACAGGCTACAAGTGTAAGGTTGAAGATTTTGGTTGTTCATAAAACCTGTTCTGTAGGTAGACAAAATACAGAATTTATTGTGCACAAAGCACATACTGAATCATAAAAAGTACTAAAATTATGCAAGATAATTTACTAGCTCATGTTTTATATAAACTTTTTATAATTTTCATTGTCTGGGTAAAAAATGCATCTTTAACATTTGGAACAGTTTTACATTTCCTATTTTAAGGGGGAACTTTTTCAGCCAGATTTTTAACCAAACTAGTATTCTACATTAAGATTTCTGCAAGCAGGATGTTGATTATTTGGTTAGTTAACATCTCAAACCAGTAAATTTTGTAATTTTCTTGTGTACAAAAAACTGACGAGTAGATAATTTTGGAAGCATTAGGTAGGATGACTGCTAATTAAGGATATTATGTTACTGTAAGATTTTGGTGCATTTTGCATCAAGGTTTTATCTTGAAGTGCTCTGAAGAGAGTACTTAAATGTGATGTTTCTTCCTGAGTTTTGTTAATCTGTTATACAACCTCATTATTTTCTTAAAATCATTGCTTATGATCACTTATTGAATCTGTCCTCTCTCAGTTTGCCAAGCATTTTCTTAGTTTTGAGTGCATTTCAGTTTGGCAGCCTTGGTATAAAGAACTTCAGGGTATAAAGAAGCTTATTGTCTCTGTTGGCAAATGTTTGGCTCTAGGATCAGTTTGTCACTGGAGCTGTGGGAATAGCTGCTCAAGTGGTGCTTCTGTTGAGCTAGCAGGGAAATATAAAGATATTTGTTACTCCTGCTAACCCAGGCTCCTTCCTCACTGCTTTTTACAGTGAGCCTGTAGGGGCTGGCACAGGATGACCCTTCTGCCACAGACTTGTAGGACATTTTCCAAAACTCTAGAAATAATGGCCATAAACTCCATGTTTGTATCTCTGCTGGCAGTGTGAAAAGGCTTCTCCTGAAGGACAACTCCCTGTCGGATGCCGGCCTGCGCAGGATGACAGCGCCTGTCCGCGTGCTGAAAAAGGGGTTTGAGAATCTGCTGGTGCTGGACTTGTCCTGTAAGTGCTCCATGGTCCTTCCTGATAAAGAATTTATCCTCCTTAGCACTGAAGGAATACAATTAATTTGTTGATTCCCATGAGCCAAATGCTCAACCTCGGATTTCACCAGCAGCCTCCCAGAACGCACAGGGCAGACCTGACGTCTCAGGCATTTGCTACTTACATAAATATTTTTAGTAGTTTGAGAATTGGTATTGTAAATATTTGTATTTTGATAATTAGAGCGGCAAAGTCAGTTTTGTTCCAGTATTAGCTTTTGGAAAAAATACTCCCATGGTATTTTAATAATCTTTTTCCACATCATGCAGCTTAATTGATTTTACTTGGCCTTACAGGTAACCCTAAAATCACAGATGTGGGAATTGGATACCTTCTTTCTTTCAAGAAGTTGAATTGTTTGGACATTTCTGGGACAGGTCTCAAGGTAAAAATCATCTGAAAAAGTTGACTGGACAAGTGTAATAAAAATTCTTGCCCTCTGACTGCTTTATTTCCCTTTTTGCCCAGGATGTTGATGCTGTCATAAAGCGGCTTCAAACGCAGATAGGCCTGGTTCACTCAAAAGTGCCTCTGAAAGAATTTGATCACAGTAACTGCAAAACAGAGGGATGGGCAGAGCAGGTAAGGAGGGGTTAAACCTGTTGTACTCTCTAAAAATTTGCCTTCTAGAATACAAAATCGCTGAATAGGAAAGAACAAGGGATGGAGTTGTTTCAAATTATATTTCTGTAAATTTTACAAGACACACTTTAACTGCTTCATCTGCTCTTTCAGACAGTTCTGCAGTGGGAACAGGCAGTTATGGAGGCCATGAAACCCCAGGACAACTTGAGATCCAGAGTAGCAGCTCTTCACTTCTGTACGTAACTGCATGGACACCACAGAGCTGATTTATTTTCTTTTCTACAGGGACTATTTCCATACTCTTTTGGGTTATAGTACAAAAAGCATCTCAGGTGTGCAATTTCAGCCCTTTGTGTAACTTCATTACAATGTACTTGAGTTGTTTTGTTTGTAAGACTCCTGGATAATTCAAGTACAGCAATACAACAACAGAGTTTTTTTCTTAAAATTCTGAGTCCAAAATAAAAATGGTATGTTTTCCTCTGCACATTTCCAAGCTGGCTTGGTGAAAACAATTTGTATCACAAAGTTATGCATTTTACAGCATAATTCTCTTTTTCCCAAAATCTAAACTTGATTTTTTTTTTTTTGCTTGTAGATGGCAAGACACGCAGAATAGAGGAAGCAGTCAAATGCACACTGGTCGAGCCAGAAACTAAAGCATCTGGAAACTTGCAGTTTTATAAGGAAAACGTTGAAAATTGCCATTTACCTTTGAAAAAGGAGGTTGCAGGCAGCCATGAATTAAAGAACAATAAAAAAAGAGCTTTGGCTGAACAAGAGAGAGAAAGGACTTCCAAACAGAAGCATCTGTGCCTCACTGTGGAGGACTGGGATTTGTTAAATACCTACTGAGTCAGAAAGAAGTGGGTCTTTTGTTTGTTGTTCTCTTGCTGATGACAGGATTTGGACATATTGAGAGGGAGTGACAAAGAACTCTTAAATCTGGTTGCTGTGACATGCCTGTGTTTAACCTGTGCTGGGGGAGAGATAGAGGCAAGAAGATAGGTAATGCTACTGTATATTTTCAATACATAATAATTTTTTCAAATAAAGTTTTTGTTGTCATCCTTAACTAACTCTTCTGATGAAGTTATTTGTGTCACCAAAACAGCTGGTCCTGTCCCTGCTCCTCTCCTGCCTCTCGAGAGGCAGGACACAAATCACTGCAGCTCACCTGAAATGAAGCTGCACTGGGCTTGTCAAGTGCCATGGGATGTTTACAGTGCTGCTGGAGCAGAAACCTCAGCCTGAAAGCACCAGCTGTGCTGATGGGGCTGTGCAGAGAGAGGGAGCACAAAGGATAAGCACAGACCTCTGGGAAGGGAGGCAGAGGCAGTAACACCTCACCAACAGCCATTGCAGAAGCCCAAAGTGGAACACAAGTCCCCTTTCTTTCTCATTTTGGCCCAGGAAATGAGAGCTGGAATGAGGTTACTACAGAGATAATGCTCTTCAGTTTTAATATATTCTCCCTTACAAGCAAATTCACTGCATTTCAGATCATTCTGTGGTTTAAAACCCATTTTCAGTGTGCCTTTAGTACACTAACTGTGCTTCTCCATCTGGAAACACTGAGGGGCATTTATAATTCAAATATTAATTATGCAGATCAGCTGTAAATCACCTGGACACTCAGACCCTGGTCTGTGTTGGTCTGTGCAGCGTAATGTGCAGGTAACTGTTAAACATTGAACTCCTGCCCTAAATTTTTTCCATCAAAACTGGCTGAGGTGCACAGGGCTCAGTGTCCTCTTAGGCCTCAGGGATTTTCTACAGTTTTCCCCTACTAGTGCTTCTTCAGAGGGTATCTTCCTTTTACACTGGTACAGTTTACCATAATTCATCACCAAGAAAAGCAGCACGTCCTTGGAAACCATGAAGAGGCCAAGAAAATGAACTTCAGCTCAGAAATGCCTAAAGAATAAAACCCCTTTGTTGTCTTTTCCTTACTGCTGCATTTTCCAAAGAAAAGGACTACACACAAACAAAACAGGAACACTTGCACTGAAATCCTACTTTCTTTTCCCAGAAACTCAAAGCTATTAATACCTTCCCCTGACAACTACATCAGCTCTCTTCTGAGACAGATTATGGCACAAACTGTGACTCAAAACAGTGGCTCAGTGGGGAGGAAGATGTGCAGTCTTCCCCCTCAAGCTGCCTCTGGTGCAATTGCCACCATGGAATTTTTGGCCACCCCTTCCACCATTGGAGACATGCACATTTTTTTACCAATCCTAATTTTGCCAAACTCTTTACCTGGGCCCTGTGTTGAGCATGAGGGTTCCTATATATTTTTTTTTTTAACAGCTGATTAGCTCAATCCTTACTGCACCGGGATGACATTTTATAGGCACAGGGAAAACAAGCTGCACACCCTGGCCAGGCCTGGACAGAAACAGGTGAGTAAAAGTAGCTTTAACATTCCCCCATGCAGAGTTCTGCCATCTCATTCCAGGCAGAGTGTGAGTCACAATACTGTAAAGCTATTTATAAAAAGATCTCTCAGATTTCCAGCTATATCCCAGTGACAAATTAGAAGCAACATTCACCATTGATCTGAGTTACAGTGACAGGCAGAGCTGCAGATCACAGGACTGAGAAGAAATGAGTGAACAGGGGTTTATTTTTAAATATCTGTGACCTGAGGTGGCAATGGCAAGAAGATCACCTCATGTTTTTTGTGGGCCTAGAAAAGTAAGAGTACTCACTGTAAATATGGGGGTTTCCTCGATATTTTCGACACAGGTGAGATTTTCAAAGGAGCAGAAAAAAACCTCATCTTTCTCAAATTTCAGTGTCATGTTTGTACCTATATCCTGAGGACTGCTTTGAAGGCTTGGCTGCCTGATTGTGCCCTGCTGGCAGAGGAACAAAACCAGCAGCAAACAGATCCAGAGTCATCCCACATCACCCTGGGAGCAGCACCCGATTTTCTGCTGCTCTCTGCTCCAAGGCTGAGACTTCCTTTTCCTCCTTTCTTTGCCAACTTCAGTGAGAGCCATTCCAGCTCCATGGCTGTTCTCAACCTGATGCTGCAAAAACTGCACAGCCCTGGGTGAAGAGCAAGTTATTTACACACTGGTTCCTGCCCTGGCTGTCAGGGACAGCTACTCTGTCACAGGGACATGATTTATCCCCCCAAACCCTGAAACTTCTCCAGTTTTCCTTGCCATTACACTCTCTGTGCTGGCCTTCATGGTTTGAGAAAAGAGCAGGAGGTGGCCTGAGCAGCATCTCCCCATGGTGTCACTCCCAGCACAGCATGCCCATGGAAGTGTCCCAGGAGCATCAACACAGAGGCCTCAAAGTCACTGCTGAAACCATCTGCAGATGTGTTCTGAGCCCAAACAGAAGCTTCTCCTCGAGTCAGTGCTGCCCAGGAAGGAAGTGCCACCTTCACATGGCACAGACTCCTGGCAGCTGTCCCACAGCCAGTGTCCAGCTGAGGGCTGCCACACGCCCTTGGTCCCTGTTCAGTGTCACTGCACTGCTGGGGAGGATTTGCTGGGGCTGGAGCTTCCCAAGCAGGTGGCAGAGCAGGACCCTGAGGCTCCAGGGTGACGAGTGGGAAGCACCCTGCTGTCCCCAGCAGGGATGGGTGCCAGGATTCAGGCTGTGCAGAGGAACTCGTCGGACCAGTCCAGGCAGTGCTGGGTTCCATCCCGGCACAGCCTCCTGGGGATGCAGGAGCAGAACTGGAAGTGTGCAGGGCTGCAGCTCCACCACTCCTGCCCGCACGGGGGGCAGGCGGCCGCTGGGAAGGACAGAAAAGAGAGAACTGAAATGCTTCTGCTGCAGTCACCCCCTCCCTCCTTCCTTCCACGGGTAAAATCCTTTCATCCCCCAGCAGAAAAGCTGCTGGTCACAACCCTGTGACTGTGAGCCCACCAAAGCAGACACTGGCTTGGTGCTACTTATCACAACCAGAGTGTGACATTGCAATGACCTCCATGGCAGAGAGGTCAGCCTGGGGGGAACAACTAACTGTATTTTTTTTTCCCCTTTTCTTTGTTTCCAAAACCATGTGGGCGACTTAGGAACAAATCTGCTGCTCGTTTTAGCGAGACTCAGCTCCTGCACAGCTTGGTGATCCACCCATCTGCTGACCAGCTACCAAAGGCCAGTTTGAATGGTTACTACTAACTACAGCCACACATCCTGATGAAACTGCTCCACATCAGCAAGCCACGGAGGAAGAGCTGTTTTTGGGAGCAAAGCACAGAGCCTTTCCTCTCTCAGGCTGCACCAGGCTTTGATGCAGAAGCCCGGGCAGCCAGGGGGACTGAGCCTGCATGGTTCACACTCACTCCCTATCCCAGCTATCCTGTGTTTCAGTGGGTGCCAGCCTCCAGGCATTTCCAGCAGCATCCACCAGCAGCACACTGTAGAAGCTGTTGCCACCCAGCAGCAGAAAAGCCAGGAGCCAGCAGCCAGACTTACAGCCCCACGTCTCGTCAGAGCAGTCCCCGCAGTCATTCATCCCGTTACACCTCTGGTCAGCATAAACCCAGGATCTGGGGCTGCTGCAGTAGAACACCAGGTATCCTGGAAGGCTGTGGGGCAAGTCACCTGCAAGGGCACACACACAGGACTGCTAAACTCCCCCAGGCACAGACACACCGGCTAAAACACGGATGGCATCCACCAAAGGCTGCTGCCAGGACACTTCCCCTGCAGTATCAAACGGGGAAGCTCTGTCGTGGCACACAGGAAGGCTGCCCCAAATTCTGCTTTTTTTAGTTTTTCCCCCAGGGTGACTAAACTAAATTACCCATGTAGGCATACAACTTCACTGATGGAGGAAAACTACATCATGGTTTAAAAATAAAACCCTAGGAAGATCAGACGAGCTTGGAGTCTTTAATTCCTGGCATTCCTGCCAGGTTTTGGGCAGTGCCACCTCTCAACATCTGCCCTACAAAGGCTCTATCAGGCCTATCTGCTCACACAGGCAGCCAGAAGCACAGAGCAGGGTTAGAGGAACCCTGGCTGCTGTCTCACGACTGAACGACCAGCGCAGGGGAGATGCTCACAACAAAACCACTCACCACAGAACTGCTCCTGCTCATCCTCTCCGTTCCTGCAGTTGCTGACTCTGTCACAGACCCAGCTGGCTGGGACACAAGTCACTCTGTCGTCACACAGGAAGCCTGTCCTGTTATTAGGGGCTGTGCAGAGGCGGTTCGCTGAGGGGAAAGCAAGAAAACCTTTATTTTCCAGCATTTTTGTGATACAAGGAATAGATCAAAGGGAGTAAAGGGGGGTTTCTGAAATTAACTTTATGTTCTGGAAATAACCAGGGGTCAGGATTAATTTCTGGTAGGTTCATGGCAGAATCTGAAAACCACACCAGTAGTCCTAAGCATGACAGTGCTACCCAGAGTTATGCCAGCCCTACGAAGCAGGACAGAGCCAGGGAATGGCTGGTGGCCATCTGGGCTGAGCAAAGCTGGTCCAGCTGTGCTCATGCAGCACCATTTCTGCCTCCCTTACTGAAAAAACAACCACTCTTGGCATACAACCTGGTGCCCGTGGCAGGAGTGCCAGGGCTGCCACCCCCGAGGCCACAGCGGCCACGAGGACGAGCAGCACCACGGCAGAGATGCAGAAGTGTCTCTGTGTGCAGCCAGTGCAGGCACCACACGGATGGCAGCGGCCTGGGGGAGGCAAGAGAGAGAGTGAGGGGTGAGGAAGGGTCTGGGGGGTTTCAGAGGGGAGCAGTGCAGGGACACGAGGCTGAGGTTTTGGGGTTTCTGCATGCAAGGCTGGTGGGGGCTGCTGGGGGTTAGGGCTTGATAGTTGAGTTTAAAGAGCCAAACTCCACCATTAAACACCTCCTCAGAGGGAATTTTGCTGCTTGCAGTGTGGAAGAACTTGTGCTGCTGCTACAGAGCACTGGGGTCAAATGGCACAAACCCCACATCTCTGCAGCTCATCCTGTGGGCTCGGATGCAGAAGGATAAAGGCCAAACCCCTGCCCACCCCCGTGGGACAGCAGTGACACTGAAGCACACAGGGCAGGCTGGTGTAAGGCTGGGGAAGGTGCCCTCCCAGAGCCCATAACCAAACTCCCCAAGAGGTAAGATTTCATTTTACAGCACTTCAGGCTCTCTGCCCCAAGCAGGACCCCCACTCCCATGGAATGAGGCTGGATTATCAGCACAGAACAGTGAGAAGGAACTGAAGAGCTGCCCTTTCCCTCCCTAACAACATCCCCAGAGCACAGCAACCTTCCAGGGACTCCAGCTTTCAGAAAGTCAGGTACATAAATCAAACCAACTGTAGAAACTGAAGGCCAATCCCACAGTCACTGCAACACAATGGGAGCACAGGGAGGAGCCACGCCAGGCACCTGCCCTCACCTCAGCAACCTGCACCTGCAGCTTTGCCTCTAAACCAACAGGGTATTTTCCTCCATTCCTTCATATTTCCTGACCAGTAGCAAAAAATATCGGTGTGGTCATCTCAGAAACATGTAACCAGTCACTTAAGACAATCCTGCCTGTGTAATTGATTTTGGTATATCTGAACTTTAAAATCTTTAATTAGAATTTTAAAAATCTTTCAGGAACAGAATGAACTTTTCAGATAGTATTTGTCTTAGCTATGCTTTGTGTTTACTTAGTTGTTTTAGTGTTCAAACTGAAGGGAAGGGACAGCCTTTGCTCAACAGCAAAAGGATCCTGATTCCAGCAACCTCCCACTCTGTCATGCTCAAGCAGGAGCCAAACAGAGAAGATTTCAGCTCAGAAGAGAAATGGTGAATTATAGCATGTCTGTGTCTGCAAAACACCTCTGACTACAAAGCACAACAATTACAAACAGACTTGAGTATAAAATAATGGAGGTGATGAAATGTTGCAAGCTGATCTTCAGGCTTGCTATTTGTTTCTGTTTGATCTCACCTCATCCTTCAGAATGTGGGCAAAATTTGCTGAAGTTTGGCTATTAAGACATAGGGAAAGGCCACAGCAAGCTCATTATGAGCCTTTCTGTGACAGACAAGGATCACCTATGATACCATGATACATATGACTGCCAGCTCCAGGCCAACACAGAACAGCTGAAGTTTATTAATTTCATAGTCTGGACATTTCACTACACAGAAAAGAGGAAAAATCAGTCCAAACAGACCATAACTGTGGTTGTAATTTATATTACATTGATAGTTTCCATTTATTTATACTTTAATAATAGAACTCTGCATTTTATTCATTACCTCTTTCTCCAGAGAAGGATTCTGTTGAATCAAAAGTAGCTACATCACTGTTTCTCTAGAAGGAAAGGGATAAAAGGGATTTACAGAATCCCACAGCCACACAAAATTCACCTTTCTAGTTCTCACATCTTACCCAGGATTACTTCATGTACTCCATTATTGTTACATACAAGCAAAAATTGCCTTGGTGAAAACATGGCCCACCTTTAATTCCCAAAACAATCAATCATATCCCTTTTTAAACCTTAATTACCCATTTGTAAAACAAACACTAACCAAGTCCAGCACTTTATATCAACTCTTTTGTATCAAGGTAGGTAGAAATAACTCAAAATCTCAGAGAAAGCAGTGGTAAAGAAGTCAGACAAACAGCACTGGCTCAAGAACACATGTACTTCAGGGAACAGCTGTATGTAGAATTTTTCTGAAGAACTGTACCTGGGGATGAGTTTTGTTCATGCTTCCCAGAGCTCCAGGGACCGCAGGGAGTTCTCTGCACCTGAGCACAAGCGAAGTTACCAGGATACAAATCCAACAGAGGCAGGAGAGCAAGGAGAGCAGCTCACAGACAGGAGGGGACTGGCAGGGCAGTGCTGAGCCTCTGCTCAGTGAAAGCAAACAACAAACCTCTCATTCTTCTTGTCCCAAACATGGTTTCGCAACAGGACATTAGACAGCTCAGAGTAAACAGAGATTTAGGAACTGAAGCCCTGCTGACAGGTTGGAAGACAAGCACTCACCTCTAGCTCATGCTGACTGCATTTATCCCTGTGGTCATGGAAAACTCCCCCAAAGTAGAGCCTGAGGGAAATGAAAGTCTCATCTTCCTCAAAGTCTCCTTTCTCCACACCTCCTTCCCAAGACAGAGTTGTCACACTGCCCTTGTGGCAGCACCAGCCCAGGCTCCTGCCAGATGATGAGATCTCAGGAGAGCTGTGCAGGGTACAACCATCTGGAACAGCTTCCTTGCTTGGGCAATGAGCACAGGCACAGGAAATCCTCCAGGGTCCTTTTTTACTTGAATGCTTGAATTTCCAGGCCTGCAGGAAGGCTTAGCAGCTCAGCCTGCAGCAAACATGAACTTACAAATACATTGGAGCCTTCTAAACTGGCTGCAGGTCTCAGCACAGGTCCCACAGAAGGAGTTTTACAGCTTCAAGGATGAAATCTCACAAGCAGGCAGCTTTTCCATGGGGGTAGTGGGGAGAAAAAGCATCAAGTTTTTGAGGAGCCTGGGTTATTCTTGCAAGAGGGTCCACAGGACTCAAGTGCTTCCAAATTGTTGCCACCCCACAGGCCACGACTCCTCCTCAAGCAAGACAGTCCCACAAGGCTGTGGAAGAGAGGCTGGCAGCCAGACTGTCTCTGAGCTGGCATTGCCTTGAATTTACTCAAAGCACCACATAATGCCTGACATGGAGGAACAACTGCAGCTCTCCAGCTTCCCTCTCCATCCCCACACATAACCCACCCCCAATTATCCCGAATTAATGCACTCCTCATGGCCAGGGCATCTCCAACCCTGCCCTCACCGACCAGCCAGAATTAAACACTCTTGCAGGAGCTCCAATTTGCAGCACCAATTTGTCCAAAGCAGAAGCTTCTCACAGGAATACATCACTACTAAAGGCGGTGCTAGAAAACTCCTGTTTCAAGAAGAATTTTGGGTGAAAACATCCAATACCAAGTAGCAAACAGTCTGCAAGTCTGGGCAGCCACTGCAATGTGGAAAAATGTCAGACTAAGCAGATCTTAAGTTCTGGATCTCTTGCTCTTTAAAGAAGTTTCAGTTTCTAATCAGACTCCATACAGGACTATTTTGAGCCTTCATAAAGCTTATTAGGTGATTAGGAGTTTGGTAACAGCCCTGTGTAAGAGCCAGGTAAAGCAGGCCAGCTGTGCATACCCTGCAAATCAATCTACAGTGAAGAGCTTAAAATGTGGAGTCAACCCACCCTTGGAGACAAATGTCTGTAAGAGATGTCCAGAGAAGGGCATCAGAGCTGGGGAAGGCTCTGGAGCACAAGTGTGATGAGAAACAGCTGACAGAGCTGGGGGGCTCAGCCTGGAGAAAAGCTTCTCACTCTGTAACTCCCTGAAAAGAGGTTGGAGCCAGCTGGGGTGAGGCTCTTTTCCTCCCAATTACCAAGCAACAGGACAAGAGGAAACAGCCTCAAATTGTACCAGACGAGGCTTAGATTGGATAGCAGAAAAAAAAATTCTTTAACTGGAAGAGCTGTCAGGCTTTGGATCAGGCTGCCCAGGGCAAGTGTAAGTAAGTAACTCCCTTAAAGCCATGTGGATGTGGCATTTGGGGACACGGTGGTGTTTGCAGTACTAGGGAAATGGTTGGACTCATTCTTGGAGGTCTTTTCCAGGCTAAAAAAACTGATGATTCTACAACCTGACATCTACCACCATCTGTTTCCTGCTCCAGGATTATCAGACTCAGCTGTAGCCAACCAGGCAGTTGGATTTTAGAGCAGTTACCCCACATCAAAGACTGCTTAGAGCTCAGAAAAACGAGTTCATGACAGCGATGTAAGAAACATAAGCAAGCTCTTCTGAAGTTAAAAAAAAATAGACAAATATCAGAAAAGCTGAAGAGGCAACAGATATCAAGGTATCCAGTATGACAGAAGGTTATTGTTAATTCTAGCACCTAAAAATCCCCCAGTTTCCCCCAAATGTACCTTGGCTATTTCTGCCAGCAGTGAATTGCACACACTTAAAGAGGGTCACCTCATTTGTGTCCAGATGATTTAATTCTAAACCCAATACAGGTTCAGTTGAACACATGCCTAAAGAGAATATAAAATGCTTTCCTCCTGCAGTTTCAATAATTTAAGGCTCTTCATTTAAACAGTGGTTTTGAGCAGAGATCAAACCCAAATTGCAGCCTCTGAAAATGGAGATGTCAGTAAGTCAAACATTTAACAAAAAATGAACAGGAAATGACATTTTGCAAAGCCAAATGCCAAGACAGCTTAAAGAGTCCATTTAGTTTAGAAATCTTGAGAAACGGTTCAATTACTTGCTATGATCTGATTTTACTGAGGGAAGATCTTTTGACAAGTTTACAAGTACAACACTCACCAAATTCCTCAGGCTCTGGCTCACTCTGGATACAGCAGTGCCAAGTGCCAGTGCCACAGGCACAGAGCTCTCTGTGACCCAAGAGCACATTGCTGAATCACTGACTGCACTGCACAGATCACTCAGCTGAAATGCCATTAAACAGCAAACAAAAGACAAAACACCCAATGAAAGCACAAGTTGTTTGCTTAACTCTAGCCCAGGGCTGTAAGCAATGGAGTTCTGAAGAGAAAGTTTTGTGAAATCAAGTCACCAGCCTAACAGAGGTTGTACTGTCCACGCTGGAACAGGCAGAGCCACGTGTGCAGAGCTGCTCCCTCTGCAACCACAT